ACAAGATGGTACCTCTTTGTTCTGAAATTCGAGATAATTTTTAATAGGGTAAATCGGAAAAATTTGTCTCGAACATTTAAGCTTAATTTCAGAACTTAGCAAAACGTTCCATTGAGGGGAGAACTGCGATAAATTAAACACAATTTTTTAGGAGTCTTGGCCGATAGGTTATTAGTGCAGCGGTGTCGGACACAATTCAATCTCGTACTCGCTTTTCAATCGTTTTAAAAATGTACATTCCAAATGGTTTTTTAAGGGTGGCAAAGGGTATTTTGGTGACTCGTGATCGGCCTTTTTTATCCCGTGAAATGTGAAATGGCTAACTTTTTTGTCAGGAATCGTGATTTTTAAAGTGGCCGTGAAGCGAAATTTTTTAAAATTATTTTCCTTGAAACGACAAATGAATGTTTAATTTGCTGTGAATCGTGATTTTAAGTTTGTCGTAGATATTTTCAACACCCGTTCACCTGTTCTCGAGCCGATTTTTTTTTTCTAAACTGTGAAAGGACCGTTTAACACCCTCTTATGTCTGAGCGTTTTCTTACTAATTTTATGGCAGACCTGCCTCATCAAGGAAGGTATGTATATACTCAAAACCAACTCGGAGAAAAGGTTGCTTTAACAAACACTACATCTTTGATTGAAAAATGTCAAAACAGATCAAGGATATCATTTTTCTTACCATAGCGTCCAGCTCTGTACACAAAGGCACACACATAATCCAACTTCTCAGGTACTTCTGCAATGTTCAAAGACCCGTTGAAGTTTTACTCTTATTGAAAAGTAAGCGCGGGTCAGAAAAGAAAAGAGGGCTTGAGAATCGACATTTAATGCACGTAATATAATTAATATTTTAAACATTCAGGCTAATCGACGCGTGCAAATCGTGGTAAACCGGGAGGCCGGCAAACCGTGGTAGAATTCATTCTCGTTGCTATTTCAATTAAGGCTTTTATGAACGACAACGAATAAATGTAATATCGGCAGAGAAAAAAGAGCAAAACTTACCGAAAAGTTACGAATTGGCTCTGCTTTACGGCAAGGCGAAATGAAGACTCTGCAACACAGCGACTACACCATGTGATGGTTTAGCGCCAATCTTTACATTCGATGACGCCATGCCCCCCCTAGCAGATCCCTGTTCCATTTGCGATTTGTATTTCTGATGGTTTCGGCGAGATAGCCTTCTCGTCACGCCACAAGCAAGCTGTTTGTGTACTGCATTGCAAATGAATGCTGAGCTATTCGCAATTGAGCTAGTCCATTTCACAATTTCATGTTCCAACTGGACATACGCAACTAGACCGTTTATCATTTGGCTAAACTATTCATGTGCGGGGCATTCTGTTTCATGAAGGAAAACTAACCGTCTATAATTTGGCCACGCCATTCCTTTATCAGCTATGCTATCCTGCCGCTGATCCTTAAACCAGCTTTTTAGTTGCAGATCTATTTGACATCCTTGTAGTTTTGGTGATGACGGCCGCCCATACAAAATGCCTTATTGGTGTTATGCTGACTTAAGACTCGATAAAGCGGGTGATTAACCTATAAAACGATTAATTCAAGGTTTTGCAATTCTCAAAAAAGGAATTTTGATGGTATCTATAATTGACTTAGCTTGAAATGTTTTAACTCAAAGGCATTGAGGGAATGAACACTTTCTGACTTTTATTGTGTATATCTTACAGACTCATGTTCATTTATTAATGTTTAATCATGTATTACATATACATTTACATCAGGTAGAGCAAAATGATATTTACAGTTCACAGTCCGAAAGGTCAAGGTCCGATTCGATTGTCCTAGAACCTTCTGGGCATCTATGATTCCTCCTCTTTTTCCTCTGAGCTTCCTCTTCAGATGGCCTGCGGTCTCTTTTCGTTTTGTACCAGTCAGAAATCCTGTGATGGTGATAGAAGACTCATCCCATCGATGTCAACTTGTTTTTATTGTCAAGACTTGCATTTGAAGAAATGCTCTACAAATAAGAAATGCAAAAGGCATTCTCAATGTCCTATTCGTTAAATAACAAATTTAATTACAACATATACTTACGTCGGTCAAAGTTGGACAATCTTCCACCATAGCTGGTGTCACAACGAAGCTGTATGTTGGTTTGCCAAAGCCCACATCTCATTTCCCATGGCCAATGAAGAAGTTCATCACGGAATTTCACGTAGGTATGGCTGTGTCACCTCACAATCACGCTGCCATTTCTTGATGCAAGATCTAAAAGTTAAAAAATTAAATTTCCACGGAACACTTTTTTTTTTTTTTTGCGATAGTTTATTTATTCCATCCAACAGAAAAGATTTATTTTTAAAATTTATACAAACCCGCCATGCTGGAGAGCAAGCCGATCATTATACCCCTACTAAGAAATAAAAATAAAGCGACTCTAACTAGCAGCTTGACTTTGCTTTGTTTTGGGTGCGAAAACAATAACGAGCTTACCCTGCAGCATGGCGGATTTTGTGCCATGTGACCGTTACTTTTTGCAAAAGGCTTATTAATATAAAACACACTTATTTATTATTTAAGTTGTCTGATTCCGTCTTACTTATATTCTGTGACGTATTGTAGGCGGCTAATAAGAATTGGACTACTTTTGTTCAGGTTTTCTTTTTCCTCCTCGTTAGGGACAAGGGACACACTTGCTCCCGTCTTTTTTTTTATTTTTGATTTTTCATTCGTTGTTTCAACTTCCGTTGATGTGGTAGTGGAGCTAGGCTCGAGTCTGCAGCCGTTATCGTGATTGTGGGACATTTTTCCCCAAACGATATTTTGATTGGATACTCAACAACTAAAGGAAAACAGCAATTTATTGGTAAACTCCATTCAAAGTTTAACCAACTTGAAGTTACCGTTTCTTACTAAGACATGGAGGGAGTATTTTGACATATTCCTTTTATTATTTAATATGGAGAATTGACACACAGTTCATACATTGAACAAACCATATACAGTTATATGCCCCGTACTATTCAGTGCAAGTTAATTAATAAAGACGACAATTGTAGACATGTTTGCTTACTTTGCAGTCTATTTTTCCCATTAAACATGTCTGGTAGCTCCAGGGCCAACTGATGATCGGTTTCGATGGCTATGTGGTCTGTTCGTCCACTGATTTTTGTTTCTCTGTCGATGAGACGAAATAAATCCTCTTAAAACGAAAGATTGAGAACATATTTTCTTTTTTGAATAGACCATGCATACATATTTTCTGATAATTTACGGGCCTGCTTCCTCAAATTAAATAATGGATTTTTCTGGGTCTCGAATTGTTCTAATTCTTAGTAAATTTATTGATAAACCAGCACTTTTGATAGGCTTGATGTTTTCTTTAGCTTCTATATAAAACAAGCGAACAAAATAACTTAAATTTATCCATTTATTTTTAAATTGCCAATGGCAAGTTAGAAAATTTACACACCTATTCATTTGTACTTCTATCCTATCCCCAAGTCCTAAGTTCTTTGCCGTTTCCCGGAGATCAGCAAATTACTACGAAAGCGAACGGAAACTACAGTATTAAAAAAGAGTAGTGTACTAAGCTCTTATGGGTTTATTACAAATTAAATAACACGAAGTTCTTTGGCAAGGCCAACTCAACTCGATTAGGTCGATTAGCATCTACTAACAAAAGGCCTAAGAATACAAAACGCGACTAACGAGACTGATACAAAGAGATGTTGGTTATGGAAAGGTTTTGAATTACCAAAGAAAGTTCGTATGAAGTCTATGACCAGCAGCGTGTTTGATTACCCTACGAGGACATCTCGTAGGGTAATGTTTGATACTGTAGAAATTTGAATGATATTTGTCCGTTCTCAATAAAACTGACTCGCCTTGAAACGCTCTTTTTTTTTTCTTTTTCGTTGCTTCCCTGCTATGGAACAGACGCACATGGTGGTTATTTAGTCATGATCCTCCTCACCGATCGCGAATTTCCAATTTATTAAAGCTTTAGATATCGCGTATTCTAAGTGTATAAGGAATGTAAGTCTTCTTTAAGTCTGTATGGTCCTAAACGAGCCATATATTATATATATAGGATACAGCGATTAAGGTATTGTGATGTTAATAATGACATTGGTACGATTGACTTACCAAATACTGTTTTAAGGCTTGTGCAGGCTTCTCTCTTCCCTTTTTACTTTGCATCTAAACTTGGTTTTCTTTCTGAAATTCTCGCCGCCTTTCCCCTCTTCGTCAAAAAACACGACACAATCCACAATTGCTTATTGAGGTCCTTGACCTTCTTCCGTTCTGTCGCGTTTGGCACGTTGGAAGACACGGTTCGCAAACTGACCTTGACCTAAGAGCTCCACATTGAAAGGTCAAAGTCTTGAGCGTCATTCAAGACGCGTGAACCCCCTTGCGATATTTCAATTGGTTTGTCACGCATTCCTCTCAATAACATTTGCGTTCAGCGGCTATTCGAGATCAGTTGAGGTGCGCAATTGCCGGTCAGATCAAAGAGAATTCGGAACCCACAGACGCCAAACTAGAAAAACCAAAACCCGCATTGGATATCAAATCCGAAAACCCGTTAGCATTTTCCGCGAAAACCGAAAACCTAATGCTAAATAATGGAAAATCCGCAAACCGCCATGAACACCAAAACCGAAAAACGGAAGTTTTTTGCCTCAAAAACCGAAAAACCGATTTAAAAATAGCCAAAACCGTAAAACCGAAAATCCCAGTGCCCCTCTTTTAGAGCAGGCAATGAGATAACCCCTGGGTTCCGTATGCAATGAATCAGTTCGTATTATCAGGTTTACCTCTTCTAATTATGACTGATTTGCCAAACTTTGATTCTGGCCAGGCATTATGATAAACAATCGGCAAATTACAATGAGCTTTATGCTGGCACCGCATTTGCCAATTTAGTTTATTATGAAATTTCTGCGCAAGTGTGTGCTCTCAAACAATAGCCCTTTTATACAACTTAACATATGCCAACACTTGCTTTATTGCTTCTCGAGGAGATTACTTTATACGTTTTGCCTACCTTGCAGCTCAATTTCGACAACTTTTTGCCTGCAATATCCCTCATAATCATTCTGAGCCTCACAAGTGTAGTTTCCAAACTGTTCCATAGTCAACCTCTTGAGCATTAATATGCAGTGTAGCTCTTTGACTCTTGGTGTACTCTGCAGGCATTTGTCTCCAACTGGGCTACCCTGAGGATCATACCACTGAATATATTTGGTCCATTTCCTAGGATATAGCTGGTGGTCATTCCTTGGCCACGCTATGCAAGTCAAGTTAATATCTGCACCTACTCTCAATGTGCGGTTTGGCGGACTTGAGAAGATATCCATTTCAGGTATCACTAGACGGAAAAGTTAAAAAAAAAATAATTAAATGCGTAATCCTCGAGGTAACCTAAATCAATCATAACGATGATTCAATCAATAAATTCATTACAAAAATTTATTTGTGGATCAAGTATGTAACTTAAGATTTGTAAACAAAAATGCAGTAGCTACTAACCAGTTTTACTATTGCATCTGTTGCTCATTTCCTCGGATGAAAGGTTGCTTATAGCACTGGTAACAAGAAACAGCATGAAGAAGTTGCCAGCGTTTCCAAGCCAATGTGTGTTTAGCATTCTGGTCATTAAATGTTCGTCCACTTCCTCATACAAAAGTTACCTAAATGTAAAATCGTCTGTTTGCTATGGCATGATGTAAAACGTCTTTTTTAAAACCAAAGCGGGCAGCAGGTGATGGAAACTTTTCTCTTCATCAACAGATTAATTGTCAAGTTATTACCAAACTTCCATTGGGAAAATGAGCCGAAGTGCAAAATGATAGGCGAGGGAGAGGGTTAAACCTGCTTTTGAGGATGTGGCTTTATCATTATTACTATTATCAGACTTATTATCATTACTTTTACCATCATCATCGATAATGATAGCTATCATCATTATTATTATTATTATTATTATTATTATAACTATTATTATCATCATTATTATTGTATGCATTTTGGCATATGAGTCAATTTTAAAGAGGCCGTGATAGTAGTTGCTATTTCTATTAACCGAACAAAAATAATCCCATTATTTCCTCCAACTGGTCCAAAAAGCTTAAAAGAATAGAAGCATGAGACCTTATCTCAGAAAGTCGATGTTTTGTGACCAAGAAGATGCAATGAACAAAAGAGACAACCAGATGGCATATAACTTGTCTCACGTAAAATGTCATATCTTGTTTCCTACGCAACCGATGCTCACGAAACCAGACCAGAATGTAAATTGAAGATCTGAGTAAAGCCTCATGAAAACAGCAGGTGAGAATTTTTCATAAAAGACTGAAGGGAAAAACGTTAAAGAAATGAGAAAACCTCATTCACTTACCTTGTTATATTTTTATGATTGTTGTTGATTTTTTAATTTTTATTTTTGACAAAAAGTCATTTCCCACAGAATAATTTAAGTGAGTCTTGCAAAAGCTTAAGATGTTCTTCTTTTGAAGAGATGTGAAGTTTCTCACGGATCACTCAAATTGCCGAATCTCCATGAGTTTTGGCACTTAGAGACAGCTTTGGTGAGTTTTCGCGAGCATAAAGTATTTTAAAATTAAAAAAATTAATAAATTGTGAAAGTCGTGATGAGAAAAAGATCATTCAACCCACCTCAAGTCTTTTGCTTGCCACAGCAGACAAGACGAAATGTGAATATATTCAACTTTCTTACGTTGGAATAAACATAAAGGAAACAGGTGTTTTTGCCTACATATGTCACAATGTAGATCTTTTTCGATCCAGTAGTATACCTTGAAGCTATATTTCAACCTAGGCCATGCTAAAAGACCATTTAGGCCTCCATTTATGTCCATTAAACAAATAAGAGTGTGTTAAATGATTCTCAAGGTTTGGCAGCAACTGCGATAGACATATCTTCCTAATTGCAACCCAAGTTTAAAATTTATGACCCAAAGAAAAAAAACCTATAAATGATATAGCTTATCGTGCGTCATGAGGCATCTAAACTAGCCAGACTTATGAATAATTTTGTGACACCGAATGCGACTTTTTATTTCTATAAGTTCATAAAAATTTTTGGATAAAACATAATTATGATCAAATAAATGGGATATAGCTGGTGGTCATTCCTTGGCCACGCTATGCAAGTCAAGTTAATATCTGCACCTACTCTTAATGTGCGGTTTGGCGGACTGGAGAAGATGTCCATTTCAGGTATCACTGCGCAAAAAAGATGAAAAAAATTTAAATGCGTAGCCCTCGTGGTAACGTAAATCAGTCATAACAATGATTCAGTCAACAACTTCATAACAGAAACTTGATTTGTGGATCAAGTATGTAACTTTAAATCTGTAAAAAAGATGCAGTTGCTACTGACCATTTTTAATGTTACATCTGTTGCTCATTTCCTCTAATGAAAGGTCGCTTTCGGCACTGGTAACAAGTAGTAGCATGAGGAAGTTTCCGGCGTTTCCAAGCCAATGTGTGCTTAGCATTCTGGTCATTGGATGTTCGTCCACTTCCTCATATAAAAGGTACCTAAATGTAAAATCGTCTGTTTGCTATGGCATAAGGCAAAATGTCTTTTTAGAACCAAAGCGGGACTGAAGGTTATGGAGACCTTTCTCATCATCAACAGATTAATTGTCAAGTTATTACCAAACTTCCATAGGGAAAATGAGCCGAAGTGCAAAATGATAGGTGAGGGACAGGGTTAAACCTGCTTTTAAGGATGTGGCTTTATCATTATTACTATTATCAGACTTATATTAAAGTTCACACGGCAACCATCATCATCATTACTATTATTATCATTATTATTATTTTAATTGTCTGCATTATGGCATATGAGGTAATTCGATTGTGGCCCTGAGATGCTGTGATAGCATTGCCTTTTTCTATTTACCAAACGAAAATAATCAATTTCTCTTTCAAATGCAAGCGCTCAAAAGAACACAAGCATACTGTGACCAAGCAAATGCACTGAACAACTAATAAGCTGTTTCGTGAAATATGTCATATCTTGTTACCTAGGCAACCGATGCTCACGAAACTTGACTAAATTGTAAATGGAATGTCTAAATAAAGCCTCAAAAGAGTAGGCGAGAGTTTGTCATGAAAGACTGAAGCAAAAAATATTATTTTAAAGAAAGAAGAAACCCTCATTCACTCCCCTTGTTATATTTTTATGATTGACATTGATTTTTTAAAATTTGTATGTTTTTCATAAGTGTTGGCAACATAATTTCCCATGGGATAATTCAAGTGGGTCTCGCAACAGCTCAAGATGTTCTTCATTTCAAGAAATTTTAAGTTTCTCACTGATCACTCAAATTGCTGGATTTACATGAGTTTTTGCAGAGCTTTGAGAGCTTTGGTGAGCTTTTGGTGAGCTTTCGTGAGAATAAAGTATTTAAAAAAAATTAATAAATAATATAAAAGTCATGGAGAGAAAAAGATCATTCAACCCACCTCAAGTATTTCGCTTGGCACAGCAAACAAGGCAAAAAGATGTGAACATATTCAGCTTTCTTAAGTTGAAATAAATATAAATGAAACAGGTGTTTTTGCCTACATATGTCACAATGTAGATCTTTTTCGATCCAATGGTATACCTAGCAGCTATATTTCTACTTACTTGAATCCGCATGAGGCCATGCTTAGAGACCATGTTCATTAAACATGTAAGAGTGTGTGAAAAGGTTCTCAAGGTTTCGCCGGTTTTAAACGCAATAGGCACTTCTTCATAATTGCAACCCAAGTTTAAAATTTATGACTGGAAAAAAAAACATATAAATAATATGGCTTATCGTGCGTCATAAGGCATTTAAACAAGCCAGACTTGTGAATAATTCTGTTTTCTCGGCGCAAGTCGTAATATTAGCACAGATGAATACATACGGTTTGCAAAATTTGATGGGACACTGAATTCAACTTTTATTTCTATAAGTTCAAAAAATTGTAAATAAAAAAAATAATCACGATCAAATAAAAATATATTATGATCCTTTTTACAGATTTCACAGAGGAGCTAAGCTGTTTTGGCGAGAACTTTGCACGTCAATATCGCCCAGCAGTTAGTTTTCAACATTCGAAGTTTCCGCTTGGTAGACACGCACATAAAGCAGAAAGAATGATCGAGGATTGTAAGGGTTTTTTCTCCTAACCACGCTTTCCTTTCCGTAGGTTTTACTGCCCAACAAAGAAAAACTTCGAATGACTCACTCATTCAACGAGTTAACAAGAACGAAAAACGCTAGAAATCGCCTTTTGCGTAAAGGTGATAATTCATTGTAATGTTGACATCGTTATCCATTGTGACACCACGAAATGTAAGCTGTTCGTAAATTTTTCCCACGTGTTGCCAAAATATTTGAAGGATAATAAACGCAATAGCCTTCATTAGGCCCGAAAATATGCTCGTAAATGTGCTCATCAGGATCACTACAAATAAAGAGAAATAAGAGGGTCTCAATAGGTCGGGGTGATGGTTTTTACGGCTTACGGTTAAAAATGTTGGCCAATTCACGGCTCTCGGATATCTAGATCGGCTGCTTCAGTGCTAAAAACGGTCTAAATCGACTTCAGCGTAAAGGAGATAATTTATTTTAATACTGACATCGTTATCCATTTAATTGCATTTGCAAGCGATCTTTAAGATTGGTAAAATTCAACTTTGCTCAAAGTATGTTGATTCGCTTGAATATTTTTTTGATTATGTAGGTTCTTGCACCTGTTAAACATATAAACTCCACGAATCTCGATGACGCTGCAAGGTCCTCGCATTAAGATTAGTCAATGTAAAAACTAGCCACATCATGTAGAACAAATGGCTGCATTAGGCTAATATGACGATTGCTGACAAAGTAGCTGTTAAAGCTCTAGGACAAGATGCAATCGCACTGTGATACCAAAGACTTCCTGTGTCTGTACTTGTCTGGTAATTTCTTGATGTATTTCACATAATTATGACACGGCAGTCTTAGCTATAGAGCTTATCACTGGTTACAAAGTTAATGAGTTCTGAACTCCTTAAGGGAGGCACAGGTTCCTGATATCATTAAGGAGTGGATCATAGGTTACCATATTCTACCCTGATGGCTGGCCTCAGGTTCGACCTTGAACGATTATAAATTTTGTTTTGGTCCAGTCGCCCCAGTGCTTCCCCCAGCTCTCGCTCGGCAACCGTGAAGTTCGTGCCATGTCCATGTATATCTCTTAAGGCTTCCCTCTGAGGCTGACAAAACTCAGATACGCACAGTTAAACGAGACTGTTTCCGAAGTGTGCGCGACTTCGATGCGCAATGCTCTCCTGGTTAGGCATGAAAACAAACGTCCGTAACGTTTCACCTGATTGCGACCTATTTTAACAAAGAGGAGGCCAAATTAGTCCATGCCCACAAGAGTAAATGGTTGATCTGTCGGAGCGACTCGTGTGGCGTAATACAATGTATTATCTATACTCCAATAATGCTTCATGTATTCGAGGTTAACTCTTCAATCCTCTGATATCCATTATTTCGAGTAGTTTCTCTTGTTTTAACGTTACTCTCTCATCTCATGGCATATTGATCGTCATTTCCTTTTAGAGATTAGATGAGATGTGTGGTGCGCTAGTCACTGCACTCGTACCATTCTCACGTTTCACTAATATTTCCGATTAAAAAAATATATATATGTATTTAAAAAAAACCAATTGCTCTAGTCGAGTGCAAGACCAGATTTCAGTTTTAGCATGAGATGTGTAGTCTGCTAGTCACTTACTCGTAACATTTTACTAATACTTCGGGTTAAAAAAACAACTGCTTTAGTCGAGCACAAGACCCAATTTCAGTTTTAGCATAATCTATAAAAATATCGTTGGCTTTCATAAATGATTGAGTTTTGTAGTTTTATTTTATATTTGCTTTCAGTTAACTCCAATAAAATGAATTAACAAAATAAATTTATAGAGCACCAGCACCCTTTCCACTTTTGGCATAGATTAGGTTTCTGAAGATATATTGAGTCACATTCCAAAGCCTCACCACAAGAAAAATTTGAGATTCTGATTTGAGCTAGACCTAATCAAGGGTCAGCCTTGATAATTGAAAAAAATACCGTTTTCAACTCTCACATTTCCTCCATTTCATTGTTTAGACGAATTGATTGGATTTTTTTCCTCGATTTCTAAGTGTTATGTTAAGTGCTTTAACACAGCACGAACATTTTGCCAATTTTTATTTATCGAAAAAAAAAATGCTCTATCCGCCACTTTAGGCGTTCATAGGGGTAGGATTGACATGCAAGTGAGGAATGGTGACCTAATTTGCAAGTATGTGTCATTCATCAGCAAATTCTCAGGAGATGGAACTCCCATCAGAATATTTACTCCAATTAACCATGGAAATAAATTATCAGGGATCCGTGAGTTAGCTTTCATTTGGATCGAGGCCTGTATCGTACAAAGTGGAAAAAACTTAGAGGGTAACAGCATTATGATTGATTGGTTTGCATTCCAAGGATGCAATCAGGAGTATCTCATGCCCAAGCTATTTTCAGTCTTTCCACGATTGGATCACACTGCAATCGGGTTAAATTCACTCAGGCATGGATAATTAAAGCATAATAGTCTCTCAACGTCCTGTGTCTTGTGTCTTGTGTCTTGACTCCTTCCGCTAAGAACACCTTTCGTCCTCCCTTTCTTAACTAGTTTCTAAGAAAAACAAAGAACCCTTTCAATTCGTTTTATCGTTTTTCTTTCTTATCTTCCTGTTTCTTCTGGAATTTCATTATTTCATTCTGTATTTCTTTATAAGGTTTTTAGTTTCTAAAGTATCCGCGTCAACAGTACTTCCCATCTTTGCATTTGCAGTATTTGTTTTGTCGTTTCCTTTATCTATGATCATTCATCTATTTTTCTTTTTTATTTCTTTTTGATTAGTCGTTTCATCGATACCCAAAATTCACGTGACTTTGCAACATGGTACTTTAAACCAAGTTCAGGACGCAAACGTCTCCACGAATTATTTTGAAGTTTGTTTACAGGAATCGACGACATTCGACGGCCTTCACGATAAACTTTAGTGATATGTTGAACATAGAAATTACAAAACAGTTCCCATACGGTCAGGAAGTCTATGATATTTATTTCCTTTTTTTCAGAACTGGATGGCCTACGAACATTTCCACATCCTGGGAGACAAAGGATTCCTTGTCTGTAAGGTTTTCCGAAAACAAGGTACCATCTACAAGAAACAGTTACGCCTTATGTAAGGTATGTAATTCCAAAGTAATGATGCCCTCGACAAGGGAATGGTAAGGAGGCTCGAACCCGAAGAGTATAAGCCAGAACGGGGACGAAACCCATTTGGGTACGGTAAGTATACCCGCAGCTTCACAATTCGAAAGATACCTACTAACCCGAGGAAACAATTAAGGACAGTGGGGATACCGGTCAATTAGTCTTCCCAACCCAGTCGTAGAAAAAAACATTGACTCCTTCGCAACCAGGGTTCCAATAGCGCGAATGGAACCTAGTACTAAGTTTAAAGTTTGCTTTTTTAAAGATTAGCGTGGCTGACACATGGTATACGAGCGCGCTCGATCGCGAGGTGAGGCGAAGAAAATCCACCTGAAGTCACGCTATTGTTTTTGCTCTTGAAAGGATTGACAAGGAAATTTAAGAAGAACAAGTCACAAAAAATTACGTCACGCGGATTAAAGCGACCAATTCCCGGAAACCGTTCGCCAGGCGAACGGTTGGAAGAACATAAAACAATGATGTGACTAAAGGCGGATATTCTTTGCCGCGCGCATCACACTCGTTCTCACGCTCCGTGCGCGCGCATTCGTGTATTGCACTTTGGCCCCGCCAAACCACCTGTTCAGCAGGCTGGACTATAGTTTGCATCAAAAATTTTTGTAAAATATTGCAACCCACTTAAGTAATTTTCAAAACGTTCTTTCGAGTTTATAATTTATGAGCTTCATAAAATCTTATTGTTCTCTTTCTACATTACATCAACCATTTCAGTGACTTGCACATTGACGTTTTAGTACACCAACAATTAAATTAGCATTTATTGTGAAGTAGCGGTAAAAGTTGCCGTCTGCTTTTTCTCTGCCCAGTTCGGTCATGTTACCTGTAAGGAGAATTCTCTTATTTCAGTTGAATCAACTGAATTTCATGTAAACGATGAAAAGGTGTTTACATAGTATACAACGCAATGCATTTGTTCATTTTGAGTTGTTTAACTCCATGGCTTACGTATACCTATTTTGAAGTTGTATAGAGGATTTTCGAAAGTCGAATCTGCGATTTTCATAATGCAAAGCCAGAGTTCGGAGAATGCTCCTTTAGTTGAAGATGGTTACATCGTCTATCTCGTCTCTAAACGGCTGAGAAAAGGATGCCCTGTATTTTTCCTTTTTCAGAGGAGCAAGTACGAGAAGTTTGAAGAAAGTTAGGTTTCGGACGCAAGTTAACGAAAATGGGCGAAGAACGAAGATTTTAATCAGTCCGAGCTGTAATTAGCACTAATAGTACTTCGAGTGTTATTGGAAAAACAAACAAAACAAAGAAACTTTGTCCTTGTTAGGTGTGCATTAATTAAACATTAAGAACGTGTTTATACTTCTCCCTGAATGGCATTTCATGTGGTTTATTACTATTAATTCACATTAAAACGTTTGTAGGTTGCGATCTACAATACATGATGGCATCCAAGAATTTTCACAAATTACTAAAAGAAAAAAGTGACAAGGTAACTCTAAAGCGGTTAATAGCGAGCTCACTGCAATTTTAAAATATTGCGGCAAGCTGGTTACAGCCAGTCCACTGCAATATTGAACGTTTTAGCTAGTTCAGGATTACCCTTAATAATTTCCCTCCGATTAGAAAGGACCGTTTCCACATCCCTCAGAAACTTAAACTGAATCAAATGGAATTGACAGAAAAATTTGCTTTCCCTCACTTTTTAAAAACTTCGACGTTAGTCCTTTTTTTTAGCATATTTCTAACCTACCTACCTAACCTAAAATTACTCGGTTCTCATTAGTTAAGATAAATGCAGTTTTCAGTTAATTCAATGCAGAAGAGGGTTAACTCAGTGCAAAGAAAGTAACAAACCAGACTTTGTGATTGGTCAATGATCAAAGAAACTCACAAATAGCCAATCAAATGTAAGCCTTGGATGTCGCAAAATTTGCGAGCAAAACAATGGCCGACATTTTAGGTAGGTTTTCATTCGCCACCGCAACAACAATACAGCAGCTGAAAAACAGCTCTAACAACGAAAACACTGTAAAATGCACTGCTTTTTGGTTGTTGGTTTGGAAAAATTGGTGTTTAGAGAGGGGAAATGCCAAGGAAATCAAAATTACGAGCTGATCCAGCTTTACAATTTGCTCAAGCTATTCTACGTCGAAATTAAAAACAAACATGATTAAACCTCGCAAACGACGATTCCATTCCATCGAAAGTGATTTGGACACAGACCGAACAATTCCTTGAACTGTTTAGTCGGACTTGTTTTGTGCTTTATAGATGTGAAAATACCTATGTATATTACTGTTTTGATCGTACGCGGTTGTTTTGACCGAATACACAAGCTTGAATAAATTATTTTTGCACTCGATGCGCGCGCTTTGCTTCTGCGTCATTATGATAATATTATTGTTTATGATATCTTGGAACATTATGATAATATTAATATTATTATTTGCGTATTTTTCAAGTATGTTATTAATACGAAATCACATGATTTTTCTCGCGCAGTTTGGAATAAATAAGTTTGAAAAAATTTACTCGTACTTAGTTATTCCAAACTGCACTCGAAATCATGTAATTACCTATGCTAATTATCTCAGAATGTTGTAAAGCTACCCCAAATTTTATTTTTCGATTTTGTTAGCCCTTGATAAGATCTATTTTGCTTGCATTGTCAATGGCAAGAACATTATAACATCTTGAACGAATACAATATTTTTTGCTTTGTTTTTGTTTTTTTTTTTTAATTTAAAAGGGCGACAATAAGGGTAGGAAATAAATGAGATAAATGTAGGCTTGGTTGCATTTGGGTTAGTTTTGTGAGTTCGGCTACTTTGTTTGTTTTGTGGGTGATCAGAAGACGTTTAGGGAGTTCAACCATGCGGATCAGGTTGTAAGATACAGGAAGAACGAATTTTTAATGACTAAACGCCATTGAAGCCTTTATATGCAATACCAAGAAAGCAGGTGTAAAAATCATGGAATTCAGAATATAAGTTATCAATTCTAAATGTGTCATTCTTTTACACATGAATTACCATCCTAATCGAGTATGTTAATAATTAGTGTATAAGGAGGATAAGTAACAACAATATTTAAAAGGCATTAAATGAACACCTGTTTCTTCCTAGCTTACTGTGAGAGCAGGAACTAGGGGTGACCTCTCAGTTAACGTTCATCGATGTTTAACCTGCTGATTAGTATTTCCACTTGCAGTACATTCAAGTAAAAAAGGGTTGCAATTCTCTCTTGTCTTCGGATTTACGGTCATTACACTCATCACGGACGGTCATTACCCCCCGATCTCGCTGCGTTCCTTCGGTCGAAACTATTTTCTCGTTTCACCCTCTCGCTCAGTTACTCCAAAAGTTAACAATTATTCACCTCCATCGGTGGCTAGTGGTGGATATTTATCGAGTCGCGAATCCCGTGTGAGTTTCTCGGAGGTGAGGAGCAAATATTCTTAGTTCGATTAGCCAATCAGGGTGCGCCTTCAACGTTATCCACTGTATCAGTATTAATCAAAATTGCAATTCCCTTGACTGTGGTTGGTTTTCAAAAACTTTTATTTCACTCATATTTACTTGTCAAGTTGTTATCGGACAGTTCAATAAGGCAATCATATTGAAAGTTGTAGTTTAAATTAACCAATCACAACCGTTGTTTCAATCGCTGTTAAAATAGTGTATAGACTCAGTTTGGCTATTCTTGGACTCCACTCAGTCCTGTTACCACTACGTATACTAACTCAATCATTGCTGACACTTCCAACGACTTATAAAAAAAATCAACTCACTCATTGGAGATACGTTCGATTGTCAAATTTTATTTAAGAACATATATCAATACACATGTACTCTTTGAAATAAAAAAAATTATCCTGAGCAATCAGGCTTGATCTTCATTTCGACTTTGGTGGCTTTATATTGGGGCTCATCGGGCTTATATTGACTCCACTGTGCCCATCTTAAACCGTCTTTTTGTTGGTATATACCGTTAAGGTTGGAGTTACCACAATGACCTTTGGGATACCACCAAGCTCCAAAGTCCTTAACACATTTGGACTGCGGGTCTTTGTCGAGTGTTAAAAATGAAGCATAGTTGTTGTGATCAAAAGAATCACTAGCGTTTCCTACAGGGCGAGAAGAAAAGAAAAAAAGGATTTAAAAAATAAACAGAAAGATAACGGTATTTATTAAACGCTCAATTTCAGTCAGCTGGATAGAGGCTCGTATCACAGTTAATTTTTTAAGACAAAATAAACAATCTAGTTGCTGTTCAGTCAATTTAATGAGCCAAACACTGTGAAATTATTCAGATTTCATTGCAATTCGACTGTCATCGCTTTCTGTATAAGGCTTATTCTCCAAGCCTAAAAATCTAGCTGATTAATTGACTCATTTTTTCAGACTTTGTATGAATGACAATGATAATCAACCAACAAATGTGAATACCTGTAAAAACCCTTCCAATTGTGAGGGCATAATCTTTTAATTCCGTTTCAACTAAGAACAAGTTGTACTCTTCGAAAATGCGTTGAATTCCCTGGCTGAGGTTAAATTCCAAATCTACTCTAAGCTTGTTCTTTGTTCTCCAAGTGAGACCGTTTATTTTGTCCAGTCCTAACCAAAACTCGCCACTCAAGTTACCGAAGCCACGCTTGTAGTCACACCAGCTACGATTAAAATTTACAGAGCCGTCCATTCTCTTCTGGATGACTGTCCACCCTCCTCCACCAGTGCTCTGGTCACAATACACATCAAAGGCACCTAAACCATCAGGATAAATCGTGTAGACACCGCTGGTTGTATTTCCAGCCTTGTAAAGCTCAGCACAATTAGCTGTAAAAAAAATGTGATAAGTCAAAAGAATTAACGGACCTAATCAAAGCCAGGTATTAGTAGAAAGTTCTGGAAAGAAAAGTAGTTCCATGTACGTACTGCTGTATGGGAAATATAACTTCTATGCAAGAAAACAGAAATAACGAAGTACTCACCCGCAAATGACGTGATTGGACGACCCAATATCTGATTCCTAAAAGCCAACGCCAGGAGCAAAAAAATCCGGAGAGAACGTTGCATTGTTCGAATGTTGAATTCACCTGAAACTTCTTATAGCAATGAGAGTGCTAAGTTTTGATGGCAGAACTAGTGCAGCCAACTGAATTTATACTCCCTGATGGTAAACATTTTTAAGGAAGAGAATACTTCGACAGTGCTAAAGAGCTATTTTAGTATCATGGACTCAAAAATTTAATTTTAGACAGCTGTTTAAACAGAAGTTCAAGGATCTCTTTTATGGCCATGCGGAAGCTTAGTGGAAGGAACAAAAAACATCCCACGGCTCAAATTTCGTTTTTGAAGAAACTGTTGCTCAATATTTAGACTTCCAACATTCGCGACTGTTTCCTCTTTAACTATGCTCAAGAAAACATGAACATACATGTTTGATGCTGCATGTTACTGAACACAAATTATGAGCACAAAGTTTCATACTTCATGTTTCTTTTTACAGTTGTTTAATTTCATATCTATAGGTTCAAACGATGGATTTACTCTTCAAAAGAAATTTGCTTCGAAAGGAGAGCATATGTTCATATACCCCTTGGAAGCAACACCTCATAATATATGAAACCACCTCTTTTTTTTTTTTTTTTTTTTTTTTTTTTTTTTCAAAATTTTCCTTTGACTGAGCCAAAAAGAAAATAATAATTCTGCCCAGTTTTTATTTTGGATTCATAGTGATATTATTGGTCCTCAGTGTAATGTTGCCGGAATCTACACCAATCATGATGAAATTATTTAGAGTTAATCAGCGGAAGATTGATGATGTCCATATTTTCTACAGTGGACCCTCTTTGAAGTTGAATGAAAAAGAAAAAAAAAAGAAAGAAAAAGAAACGCCAGCTGTTTTCAAATAGGAGGGTGTGAACTTCAAATTAAGTAAAACTCAACATGCTATTCAAGGAAGTAAAACAGGTCAAGACTCAAATTAAAACTGAGTTAAGAATGCCAGCTGAACCTTAGTGGGCGAGAATTCCAAAGTTGACAGATGCAATTAAACACAAGATCCCAGGATGTTGAGAAGATTAGGATGTTGGCCCACTTATTTGATTTTTCGTATTCACTGAAGCCTGATGGAGAATTAATACTTCCTTCAATGGTACTAAGTAGGTTTAGCCAGGTTTTAAAAGAGGGACCGTGATGTTTTCCTCGTTTGTCTTATCAATGAAATGAAGCCTTTATGTGAAGGGTTCGAATTCGAGTGGACGACTTATTCAGTACTTGTTTGCGAACCATTGAATAGATTTGAATGTCTTGGAAAGAAGAAAACAAACGCCATGGGCATTTAATATTTTTTTTATGATCTGTTTTCAAAAAACAAGAAAAAAAAAGAAAAGAAAAGAATGAAAACCAAAGTAAAAGTGAAAAAAAGGCAAACAAATAATTTCCGTAAAGAAAAGAAAAGAATACATGCGAATCAAATGCTATTCAGAATTCAGAAATGAAGAGCTAAACTGCCGAATTTTTTAGGGTCAACTCCAACACGGCTGCTAAGTTAATATGCTTATTTTTCAGGGTAGCCCAAAATTTGCCAACCGCCCAAAAATATCGATGACAAAGCAAGACAAGAATACTCAAAGGATAATTCAAGAATAAGGTTTATTCAAAGAAGGGCTAAATCTTCTGTTGTGAAGCAAAAGCGTACGAATTTCTTTCGTCTACGAAACCCGAGGTGGATAATGATTATTCCTTGGCCGCCGATTTTTCTCTGGCCTAACGTAATTACAAATCATTAGTTTCACATGAGACGCACTTCCTGAGTATTGCTTGGATCAGCAATATCGAAAGCCCCATGTGAGTTAACGAATTATATATGATTTTTTTAGTTCGCTAGTTATAATACAAGGGAGGATTTTTCCGTCTCGTTGCGAGCGTGGGACACGAAAAAAAATATGAATGCCCATGAGTTATTGACCCAGAGATCTTTCTCTTGCTATAGAAGTATGAATGCGGTATGCCCGTTTAAAAATGAACTTTGTTACAGCCTTACTAACCACAAAATCTTCGTGGCTCATCGATAGAGTATAGAGTTTGATTCCTCATGTTAGCACACAATTATTACAATGTGCCCAACAGCGTTGACAAGACTAAAAACATCCCTCCTCACGATTTTACAGTTTCATTTTCATGCGCATAAACGGCGATAGGAAATAACTAGGAAAATATAGGTTGAGTTATGTTCGTGAAGCTCGTGTTCTTATACTCAGTTTAGATACAGAAAATATCAAGGAGCTTTGTGATAGACAAGATCAATTGGCAAGAGGAAGTTAGTTCTGAAATAAAATGTAAAGAGGAAACCCTGACTTTAATTTATGATAATTAAAGATATGTGGGTTCCTAAGGTGTGGAGTAAGCTTAATTTCGAAGATGTTATATGAAACATGACGAGCGAGTTTTTAATAGCGATTAGTCACTGTTGACGCGCCCCTTGCCATGGAAACGACATGAAAACAGGTGCAAGGGGTAGGAGTAGAGAATTTCCTTTGTTAACATCACGTTCACAATGTTTTATTCATTGACACAAAAATTATTATTACTCGATGAGAATAAAAGGCATAGTACATTGTAAAAGGTGTAATTGGATATCTTTCCATTTCTGAACTACTAGTTTAAGAAGCAGTAACCAGAGGTGAATTTTCAATTCATTTTGCTCTACGTCTAACTTTCGGAAAAAAATAAAAATTGACTTCACCTTTTCTTGTTGTGAAAGAACTTCTTCTGATTAAATAGTTAATTAAAAGTTTCCTTGCTTCAACTGCTGTGTCGGAAGGGCAGTGTCGCTAGTAAAAAAATTGTTAAAATTTGAACTTCCCCGGCTATCATCAGGATACATAGAAGTCGGAATCTGTCAGCAAGTTTTTAGTATGGTCCTCTTTGTACTTTTATAAACTGAGCCTCGTTATATTAATGAGAGAATTATTGGCGTTTCCATCTGAGAAAAATACGCTGTGTTATCAAGGTATTTAAAGGCAAATCATTCTTTTCAACGGCTTTTATGATACAATGCGCTGAAACGTTTGGTTGAAATTCATCAAATAACGGTTGATTACAAAACCATTTAAACTAAATTGCTGAAATGTGCCGTTAGTAAACGGCGTGAAATCTTTCAGTATGTACATATACCAACTGAAAGAAATTATGCCGCTAGTCAACGGTTAAAATCTTACAGTATGTGTACGCTTTCCAAACTATTTTGTGTTTTCCAAAATAGCCTATTTTTTGATAAATCAATAGTTTTCCTCTGCACGTTTAGGAAAACTAGCAAAATTAATCAAATTTCGCGGATAAAATCTTAGAAAGATTAAAAAATCTTATTTTCTCCTGCAAGATTGAGCATGTCTGTAAAAAACAATGTGTTAAGAGTCAACCATGGAAAGATGCAGAGGTAATCAGCAACCACTCAGGAAATGGATATTATAGGAATTCTGCAACCACTCAGTCACAAGATGTCACAGAAATTCTGCGACCACTCAGCCACTAGATGTCGCAGAAATTCTGCAACCACTCAGTCACTAGATGTCACAGAAATTCTGCATTCACTCAGTACCATGTTGTCGCAGAAATTCTGCGATCACCCAGTCACAAGCTGTCGCAGAAATTCTGCAACCACTCAAGCACTGGATGTCGCAGAAATTCTGCGATCACCTAGTCACAAGCTGTCGCAGAAATTCTGCCACCACTCAAGCACTGGATGTCGCAGAAATTCTGCGATCACTCAGTCTCAAGTTGTCGCAGAAATTCTGCGACCCCTCACTCAAAACTTGTTGCAGAAATTATACAACCACTTAACCACTGGGTGTCGCAGAAATTCTGCGATGACTCAGTCACAAGTTGTCGCAGAAATTCTGCAACCACTCAACCACTGGATGTCACAGAAATTCTGCAATCACTCAGTCACAAGGTGTCCCAGAAATTCTGTGACCACTGAAACACTGGATGTTGCAGAAATTCTGCGATCATTCAGTCAAAAGTTGTCACAGAAATTCTGTAATCACTCAGCCACTGGATGTCACAGAAATACTGGAAACACTCATCAAGTGATGAATACAGCCATTTAGCAATCTTACTAAAACCAGTCAATAAAAATTCCACAACATTTGGTCAATGATCCTCAATCACTCTATGATTTACAATAATTAAACTATCAAATGGCACATCTTCATAAATGTGGTAGTTATACTCATCTGTTAAGGAAGTAAGAAATACAATAAACAGTTAAAGTCACGTCCCTTTATTGCACGATCAGATAAATGAAATGAAAAAATATAATAAATCCAATGACATAAAATTTTGAGATCTATCACACAAACAATTTGATTCCACTTTAAAAGAGGAAAATATAAACTGTTATACTACCATTCCTTTGAACTATCTCAAAACATATGTAAAAATTACAACTAATAAAAATGTCTTATTTTTATCTTGCATTTACCCTACCCTGTAATGAAAGCCCTTGAGGCCTTATGGATGGAGAGTTAAGTTACAATAAATCCATGCTACATTTCAGTAGTTTCAATACACGGTGGCTTAGAAAATTCGACATCGAGGGAAAAAAATTTTGGTTTCTTATATGTCTATATATATGTCCTACCTACGGCCTCGAGATGAAAGACTCGGGTTGAAATCGATTGCTAAATAAACACCCATAAATAAATATATTTTCCTCACAGAGTGGCAACTGGATACGACTCGATCGATAAAATACTTCATCGATGTAGGTGGATTAATTTACCACATCTTGCTGAACAGTGTCAAAGCAAAAAGAATACCTAGCTTTGAACTTAACTCGACTCTGTAACTTATAGAGAATTAATTGTAAACTCCACATAGGCAGAGGCCACTGAGCAACACACAAGTCATTAAGCCGCAATTCCAGTACATGCGTGTTCTAAAGCAACGTTACTACGCATGTGTTACGACACTCTATGTAATTTTACACAAAGTGCTATGCCCAATTTCAGAAAGGAATGGCGTAAAGGAAAAAACTCAAGATTGAATTGTCCTCAAAGCAACATATC